AATACACCACCCTGTAGCTTCATGCAAGATGCAGTGCTGAACAGAAATTGCATGGCTTGTTAATCCATGAACGATTACAACTCACAGTACTATTTAACAGTTAGATTATGAGTTCGAGATTTCCTTTAGGTGATAGTTAATGAGGCCAAAGGCCGAATCAACTATCACCTCATAGAAATCGAGAGCGAATAATCTAATTGTTTTAGTAGAAATCTAACTGAAATGAATGCAAATAAAGATTTCCAATTATTTTTCAAAGTATTATTAAACTTTACACTTTAAAAAAATCGCACGGACTGAACTGTCATTGGGAATTTGCGGTTTTCTATGCGTGTGCACCCGTTTTTCAATAATTTCAAGTTTTTAAAGTCAAGAAACTGTAAATGTCCTTGTTTTAGTCTTCTCAGGAATTTTATTATTCATTTGCATCTTAATGTTTCTCCAAAGCTTTGGGAATACAAAAGAAAGTCACAATTTCGTAGACGACTGACAGCCACTGCACTCTTATGGCTGATAGTGTACAAGTAGCTCAGCCAATCAGATTGCAGTGTTTGCATTAGTATACTAGTAGAATTCTAGATCTGACTATACTAGCTTCATTCTTAGAAATTAAGTGACTCAGATTGATCACAGCCTGCCAAACATGTGGTTTAGAAATGCAATACATGAAGCATGAAATGCAAGTGCAAAGGGTGAGTCCGGAGCACAAAAAAGGATCAACAAAAAATAGCTATTTTCTCATGCTCTGATTTCCTGCTGGTGCACTGTGGTTGGTTCTCTGCCCACAAAGCAGGCTGTCCTGCAGACTACTTGGATCATAAATTTCAAAAACAGTTGACAGATAATCAGTTCTTTTATGCATGTACTTGCTTTACTTGTTTGATCATTTCCGTAAGGGAGGCTTCTCTAGTTCTGTTTATGACAGGTATGTGCACAGTACAGGAATGTCAATGAAATACATGTTTTAAGCAAGCAATGTACAGTACTTAGGGGTTAACTAGCGACTCTTCAGTTACTGCTTGATGCATGTGTTTGGTGCATGAGTGTTGGGCAACTGTTAAAGACAGGAATGGCCCTGCAATAAATTAAAATCATAATACATGTACAAATCTGAACTAGTACTAACTTTGAATTAAGTCACTCACCATCAGCATCCATTACAATCTGAAAATTTTTAACTGAAGCTTGTGTCACTCTTCCATGAAAGTTTAAAACATATGATTGTGTATCTGCCCAGGTTAAAAAAAAAAAAATTGAAAATGATTCAGTTGTCTCCTTAATTTAATTTACACTGTCAATATAATTTTCTTCTGTCAATTTTTATTACAGGGTTAACATTTTACAATTACCCCAGTAAAAGTTTGTTTTGTGTACTTGTTCAATGTAACAGTCCCTAAAACATGTATGTGAACATAATTTAATTGTTTAAAGCAATCTCTTCTGACCAGAGTTGGTTTGCTGTTTCTATTACATGTACATGTGAATTGCCTTGGCTAACTCTTCTAATTGTGAGTCACAATTGTATTATTTTCTCTTTGAATTTTGCAAGCTAAGTACAGCAGTCATGAAAAGTGTTGGGAATGTAAGCTGTATATTTATTAATGCTTTTCACAACTCAACACTTCTCACAATTCCTCTTTAACAATTAACAATAATGCACTTACATGTAATCTTTAAAAAAACTAAACTTGAGGATTAATTTACCAACATGTATAGTGTAATAGTGGGAGGCGCGGTGGCCTCATGGTTAGTGAGCTCGTCTCCGGATCGAGCGGTCCAGGTTCGAGCCCCGGCCAGGGACATTGTGTTGTGTTCTTGGG